TCATTTGAAAGTGACTTGAAGAAGAACAAAGGACAATAATATTTTTAGCAGATACATATTTATCCCAGCTTGGTAATTTGTAAAGGTCACTTAAACTCTGTCTGCACTGGGAAAATAATTTATTATTGTGTTGGTCAACAGCCGGCTGAACATGAGCCGGCAGTGTGCCCAGGCGGCCAAGAAGGCCAATGGCATCCTGGCCTGTATCAGAACTAGTGTGGCCAGCAGGAGTAGGGAAGTGATCGTGCCCCTGTACTCGGCACTGGTGAGGCCGCACCTCGAATACTGTGTTCAGTTTTGGGCCCCTCACTACAAGAAGGATGTTGAGGTGCTGGAGTGTGTCCAGAGAAGGGCAACGAGGCTGGTGAGGGGTCTGGAGAACAAGTCTTATGAGGAGCGGCTGAGGGAGCTGGGGTTGTCTACCCTGGAGAAAAGGAGGCTGAGGGGAGACCGCATTGCTCTCCACAACTACCTGAAAGGAGGCTGTAGCGAGGTGGGTGTTGGTCTCTTCTCCCAAGTAACTAGCGATAGGACAAGAGGAAATGGCCTCAAGTTGTGCCAGGGGAGGTTTAGATTGGACGTGAGGAAAGATTTCTTTACTGAAAGAGTAGTTAAACATTGGACCAGGCGGCCCAGGGAAGTGGTTGAGTCACCATCCCTGGAGGTATTTAAAAGACGTGTAGATGAGGCGCTTAGGGACATGGTTTAGTGGGCATGGTGGTGTTGGGTTGATGGTTGGACTCGATGATCTTAGAGGTCTCTTCCAACCTTAATGATTCTATGATTCTATGATCATTGTAATGTAAGTCAGGACAGTATGAGCCTTACATAACCCTGTATTGAAACTGGTTGGTTGACAGTATAGACAGAGTCAAACTCTTAGTAACATCTATTTTGAAAAGTGCAAAAATTGTGGGGTCTCTCTCTGAATCTAATTTTGCTTCATGTATGGGGTGTGTATGATGAAAACATTTCTGATGGCCAAGTTACATGAATAGTTTTGCTGTTGCTGTCACTGGTAGAGCTGTTCTACTTTAGGGATGATTACGGGGCAATTTCAGAAATTTCTGAAGAGCTCTGCCTCCCAGCTGTATTTAGAAACCCATGTAACAAATCACCTTTGACTTGGTCTTCCCTAGAAATGTTCTTGCTAGTTAGACTTAGCAGGTTCTCCCTACCTCTCCCCCCATGATATAGACAAATATATTGGTGAATGTGTTCTAACACAAACCTGATAAAATGAACCAGTGCTGCTATCCACCTGCTTTTTTAAATAGATCACCTTTAAACTTTCTGTGTAGGCTGAGCTATGCGGATGATGTTTTTAATCCATAACCCTTAAGCTAGTTTAAGTGTTAGGTAGAATTGTACGGAAGGTCCTGTGGTGTCTACATTTTTACCGAAAGGCTGAAATGGTTCTGTTTTGGCCTTCTGTTTTGTCTCAGATAAGGCCTTAACTTAGAAGAAAAAAAAAAAAAAATTGTCCTACTTCACTAGTAGGAAGGATTAGAAATTTTTCCACTTGAGGGTCAGTTTAAGCCTAAATACCAGTTCTCCAGGATTCGGCCACCTTGACTCCATAGGTGCAAAACCCGGAATGGCTGACTCAGCCTTTCCTTTCTGTAAGAGAGCTAAAGGCCAAATGCTGGGTCAGCCCTGATGAGGAGATGAATACCACAAAGATTAGTGTTTGTGTTTGTCCCAGAGATGAGTGTAAAAAGCCTGAGATTTTTAGTGGCTGTTGCCGATCTCTTGACACTTACCTAGAGTTAAAGCTGTCCCTGGAGTATCATGCAAAAAAAACCCCAACTTTTTACAATCTTTCTGCACTGTCCTACTCGTAGCTGTCCTCGTATGTGTACAACCTGCCTCTCTGCCTGCTGATCTTTAGTTGTAACTTCAAATCATTTTGGTTGGGAGGTTCAAGAAACTCATTAAGTAGTGTTATAATTACACACGCAGAATGAAGGAAAACAAATACGGCCTTAATTTTCTGAATCCATTACCCAGCTTGCTTGATTCATTTATCTGGAGGATTGAGAATGCCAGTTAATTTCTTTTCCACAGTTACATTTTCCAAAATCATCGAAAGACTAATCAGAAGCTTGTAGCTAATATTTGCGGTTTGTTTGGTTTTCTCCGGTTGTTTGAACTGCTTCCAATATGTCTTGCCAATGGCATTTCTTCACCAAGCAGAATAAATACCAAAACTATAGAGAAGAGAGTTTTACTGGAGAAAGCAGCAAATGTGTTGCACTGTAAATACAAAGTTTCTCAAAGTCACTGACTTCCTTCTGTAACTTCCATGGCAAGGAAATTACAGATCTGGAATAGTTAGTTTACTGCTTATAGAAGTGATTCCATGTCTGTTTTGTTCAGTTTGAAAGACAGACTTATCTTCATTTTTTAATCCATTTTTTGCTATGAAAGATTGGATGGAAGAGAAAATTTAATCCTCTTGGGCTGTCTGCTTATGATATTGTTATTATCGGAAATTTTATTTTTGAGACCACACTGCATGGCCCTGAATTTAGGCACTTGGCCCCAAGGTGTTACATTTATTTATAATAAAAGAGGACCTCTACCCCTGAATTGTTTGCGAACTGAATAGACAAGGCAGAATGATCATTCTTATTATATAAATGAAATACTGAGGCACAGAGCAATTCAGAGCATATCTTCAGTTCAGCAAGCTGGCTTCAAAACTGTAGGCAGTGAAGCAATATCAGTGCAGCAATCTGCATGCGTGCTAATTAGCCTGGATGGATGCTGCAATTTCATATTTATATTGCATCTGTTTTTACACATACTGTTGTGCAGTGCCCAGTAGATGTATTAGCCACTTTGGAGCATTATACATTGCAAACAGAACCAAAGTGATTTAGGGTCATGCAGTCAATTTCACAACTGTGGTTAACCTCACTAACGCCTCTTTATTTCCTTCTGTTCTTCATTCTGTACGAAAAATATTACAGACTCAAAGCAATTCAGGGGAAGGGATCTTTGGAGGCCATATGGTCCAACTTCTTGTTTGAAACAGGGTTAATGTCAAGGTTCAATCAGGTTCCTCAGGGCTTTGTTTGGTAACTCATCTTCTGAAGACTTTTTCCCTATGTTTAGTGAGGATTGCCCTTGCTGTGACTTGTGTCCATTGCTTCTTGTCCTTTTGCTAGGCATCTCTGGGAAGAGTGTGGCACCATCCTCTCCACCACCCGTTAGGTAGTTATGGACAGCAACTGAGATCCTTCCTTAGCTTGTCTTCTGCAGGCTGAACTAACCCAGCTCGCTCATCCTCTCCACATTCTCCAGCCACTAACTGCCTTGGTGGCCCTTCATTGGACTTGTATGTCAGTGTCTTTTCTTGTACTGGGGAGACAGAAGCTTGTGAGAGGATGAGTCCATCTGAAGACATTAATCTAAACCCACATTTTTTTGCAAGTGGTAAACTGCATTAATCTCTGCTGGACGTGAGCTCCGTTAGTTAGGTCCTGGTCTTGTGGAATTTCTGCCTCCATACCTGAGTGTATGCTACCAATTTCATGGCTCTGGCAGCTGGTGTTGTACATCCTGATGAGCTGGAGCTCTTCCCCGTCCATAGCTGGGGTGACCTCACCTAGTCCTGTAAAAGGCCTTGAAGATCAGGACAAAGACCTGCATAATGACTCCTACATGAGCGCTGTGATAGAGAATAAGTGAATATCTGAGTTGGCAGAAGAGAATGCCAGAAAGAGGTGGTAGCTTTCAAGTCAGTTTTAGTGCTACTGGAAAATTCCGGCTGCAGTTTTGCACTCATAGCTACACTGCAAGAGGAAACTATGGATGCAGACACGGATGAGGAGTTCCAAGAGGAAGAGGATTCAGAATAATTGCTTCAGGAGGAAGCTTTATTCTGTTTTGGGACATTTGGAACAAGTAGCAGTTGGGAGGAGAAGTCTGTGCTGCAGACCTGTGGTAACCAGCAGTGGTGAGAAGAGAGACAGCCCTCCTATGATAGGCACATTGAGATTTTTGGTATGTTTTGAGCCGTTCATCAAATGGCTGTCACTGCGAGTACACTATCAGAACTGCCCTGGGCACCTGCTTTGAGGAAAATCACCGATTCTGGCCTGACTCTCTTGGTTTTTTTAATCAAGGCTAGTGATGCACAGGAGCATTCGCAGTGACATGACCTGCTGAGCTGTGCAGGCTGGTGTGTATTTTGGTCATTTTTTTCCAGAGTGGTGCTGGTTTTGCATGTCCTGTACACTTTTGAATTAAAATTACTTGATGGTGCTTGTTGGTTCCATGAGTGGAAAGGTCAGTATTTGTGAAATATTTTTAGGTTGCTTTCATTATTTGTTCGTAGAATAGTGGTTGGGTTTCGAAGTAATGCTGGGTCCTTCTCCATGAATGCTGGTGAGGAAAATGTGTATTGCCTGAGTTTTTCTGTGGCCTCCATGAATTTGTACATTTGCAGGATTTGTGCTTTCTGTTTATGGGCAATTTAGTGCTTTGGCCTTCCGGGGGTGTTCTTCGTGTGCATATGGAATCTGTTACACATGATTTGTAGATCCTTTGTAGATTTAAAAAACAGCGCAGAATGGGATTTCACAATATAGGAACTATGAACTAAACCGTGAACTAAACTAAAACACCCTAAAATTTGAAAACTCTTTGTTTTCCTAGAAGTGGAAATGCATAAATAGTTTGTAAACAGTGCAGGTTGTAGGGGTTTTAACTAAAGAAAATGAAATATTCAGCTGCTAAACTTTGAGGGTTTGGGTTTCTGCAAAACCTCATAATGACCGTGGTCAACTTGTCCTCTTTGTGACCACTGAGGAATCTTGGACATTGGAGTCATGTGGTTCCATCATAACATTTGGGAAGGAGGGTTCAGAGAACCCCCTGCTTTTCAGGACGCTGTTTTTGTTGCCAGGATAGAAAGATGTGCTGTGGGAAGGTCTTGTGGTGAACAGCTGTTCAGGAAGGTGAGCTCTACAGAGCCTTGAAAGCTGAGACTAATGGACTTGATCCTTGATACAGGTACGCTGGATCCCAAAGGGGGAGGAGGTGGATGTCGTGCAATAGCTTTCAAAGAGCATTCTTTAAAACACTAATCTCCTGGTCTGCTTCAATGATTTGGTTTCAGCCATTTCCTTGGTCATGGACTTTCCCTCCTAGCTCCTTTGTCCTCTTTGCCTCTCCTCCAACTCTCTGCCGAACATAAACCACTTTCCCTTGTATTTCAGAGGCTTTCCTCAAGATATGGGACATTCCTTGTTTCAGTCTTCTCTTCCAAGATCTTCATATGCTGTGTAGTTGTTAACAACAGTGTCTTTGAGGACCTGGATGCCTCCGGTGAGTGAGGTGAAAAATAACAACATTATTTGTTGTTCAATATCTGTGGTGACAAAGATTTTAAAAAATATTCACCTAACAATTTTGAGATACCCTCTACAGGCAGATTCCAACTCTGTCTTGGAATTTGGTCTCACCTTTCTTTCCATGTGCTTGGGAATACGAGTGTAGGGGATCTAATTAGCTCAAGCCCAAAAGAAGCCATGTGTCTGCGTTTAGGGACCCAGCACAGGGCAAGGGGCCATGGGATAGGATGCTTATAAATGCAGTAGACTTAGACCTAGATCACTGCTTGGTCCCTGCTAATCCCTTCTTGTGGCTTGTGCATTTTGCTGTTGGTGGGTTTTGCTTTTTTGTTATGGTTGTAAGTCTGCCTCAGGCTGCTGGGATCTGTGTTTAAGGCCTGTTATTTGTGATGACATTTGGAGTAGATACTCTGTGGTCCCTTCTGAACTGTATCTATTATGTGGTTGAGTCCAATCTCCTCCCGTCACAAGACGCATCTCAGGAACAGCTATTCTTCCACCATCACGGAGAGATGTGTAGTCCTGATCAAAGGAAGCATGTACTCGTGAAGGCTAAAGGGAACCCAGCAAAGTATAAATTGCTTTTATTCATCAGAGTTATGCCTTCTGATGTTCTGATTGTCTGAGAGGACATAGATGTCTACCTGGAGCCTGGATGAAAGCAGCCCTTTCTTGTGAGTCAAGGGCCCTATGAGGACACCGTGTACCTAGAATTTCACTTTGTAAGTCCCCTTACACGCTCAGCATTTGCTGTGCCATCCTTGTTGCTCTGTAATGACTCTGAGTCACATCTGGAATTAGCAATGTTCATGTCTTCTTAATGCTTCCGTGCCACTTATCTCCTGCTTGGCATTTTCCTATTTCTCAAATGCATTTTTAGTATCTTTCTACGTATCAGAAATCAAATGACATTCTGAGATCTGTACTGGAAAAAATCCCTTTTCAGAACTTGCACTGTTACAGACCTGTTCTGAAGAGCAGCAGTAAGTGCCTGCTTATTCTATATATGCTATATGCAGATGCAGAATTAACTGGGATGGGAGACAGGCTAAAGGAATCCCCCTCCAGTCCTCATTGCCGCTTCTGAACTCGTGTGAACACATGCTTTTTCCTCATTCGCTCACTTTTTGGGGAGCTTCATCCAGCCCAAGTAATGTCGGAGTGTCTGACTCGCAACAAAACATACATACAATAAAGGATGTAGGTGAACAGACAGTCGGAGCAGAATAGTGTGAAAAGCGGCATGGAGATGCTTGGTGTAGTTCAGAGCGTAGACGCAAGGGCCACATTATCAGTTACAAAACACCACCGTAATTCCCCAGTTCAGTCATCCTGACAACCGCCCCGTGTAGACGAAGATCTTTTTCCCTGACTGGAATCCAGTTTATAACAGATAAAAATCCTGAAAGAGCAATGTCAGAGAAGTGCAGGTTGGAGTTAGATGGATACAGACAGCTCTTCCAGTTGGAAAACTGATGATGTTGAGGTTCGATTTTCATTTTTTAACCCAGAACACAGAGAACTGTGAACAGAACTATTCCTTTAGAGTCAGTGGGAACTGTGAGATTCATGTACACAATAGCTGATGAGGAAATAGTATTTTTCATCGATTTTGGGGACACTCGTCCGAAGTAGTTGTAGCTCTTGCACAGGCTTTTGAATTTGTAATGTCACATCACGGGAGCACCTGAGCGATACACAGATCTTATTTAAAACACAGATTAGGACAGAAGTTATAAATTGTGTCGCGCAGCGGAACTCGGGGAACCTCCAAGTGGCCCGCTGGAGGCCTGCCGCTGCTGCTGGCGGGGGGCACCGCCGACGGGCACCGCTGCCCCTACTCCTGCTGCTCCAACAGAAGCGGGTGAGCGTTCACTTCGGCATTCAAACGCAACGTGCAAGTACGGATGCTTTCCTCCATGGCTGTTTGTAACCGGGAAAATGCCGACCCTCGCACCCGCCCTCAGACCCGTCCCGGTCGCTGGACGGTTTTAGGAGCGCGCTGCCCGGTTCCCCTGCCTGCCCGGCGTCCCTGCGCTCGGCAGCGGGCTC